CGCACATACACAGGCGGCGCACTTGGTACAGACTTCAGCTCCTCCAGATCTGTCACCTTTGTGATGGCGTTCCTCCAGCACACGGCCAAGCCAGGGCAACAGAGCAGAGCACTGTCAACCAAAATGATCTCTTTCCGCAGCATGCCTTCGGTGATTAGATGCTTCATATGTCCAGCTGCAACCACCAACGACTCCTATGTGTGAGGTTCGGGCTGGGTGCACAAGATGAGAGCTCGTGCGTGCACATCAAAACCACGCCTGGAAACATTGAGCTGTTCGAGCTTCGTCAGATGCGACCTTTGCACTGCACCAAACAGCAGGCAACCGACAGATCCAAAACGAGAAGCAATTAATAAGTCAAAACATCAACTGCAACTCGCTTAGCAGCTCTACTCACGTGGAGGATCTCAGGCTACTTTGTAGACTCGAGAGAAGAATCTGTAGCTCTCACTGTGCATCCTAGCAGAGTGAGTGCATTGCAAGTTTAACTTTTGCGCCTGGTCGCAATCCAACTAACGCGGACAACCCTCTCGGGAGGGAAGGTTCAGAGCCGCCGACAGGTTGGAAAGCTGCCTGTCGAAATTGGAGCGGGCCGCAGGCAAACAAACACACACACACACAAAACATGTAAAACGCCAAGCCATGCGTCTAGACAGCTTGCATCTCCGCCTCCTCTGTTTACATATGTGCGTGTGTGTGTGTGTGTGTGTCACTCTGAATCAGTGCCACGTCCAGCTGTGTCCAAACAAGCAAGATTCCAAAAACGCAACAACATCCGAAGGCCTTCTGATATTGAGATTCTGGGGGCCCAGTGGACTTGAAAGCAAGCAGCCGCATGGATCATCCAAGCTGAAAGCCTGAACACGGGCTGGTTTGTGCCTTAGTGCATTGGACTCGATGCTGAGCTGGCGCAGCTCCAAGTTTCCCTTCAGATTCTCGATGCACCTGAACGAACAATCATACGTGGAGGATCGTGGAGGCACGTTTGATGCTCTTGGGTTGTAGAGTTCTATGACCGAAAGTTTGTCGGTTGGCCCTTGGATGTGAGGATTTCCGCTGCAAGGGTTGCCTACCTATTTGTCTGATGAGTGCTTGCTTGGGATTCTGCAACCGGTCTGGCAGAGTCGATAAGCTCAATTGGTGTTGGGACTCTTGTTTTCTTGCACGGCCCTTTTCCACTCCCTCAGTTTAGGGGGTCCAGGCCCAGCTACATAGAAAGCAATTTCCAACCGTACGGAGTAGCTGGGTCTCTGAACTCTGGCTTATGTGCAAGCATCCATGTCGGGTCCTTTTCTCAGAAGTAGCCTGATTTTGTCAGTTCCGGAAAGTCGGAATACCAGGTGCAGCCACCTCAAGTTCCTGGCGCTCCAAATGATCTGATGGGGTGATGCTTAGTGACTCGATGTGACTCGGAAGAACACTGGACTTGGATTCAGGGCATGTTGGGCCCAGGGCTGTCAAAATAAACGAACCACGGATGGCATCTTAGACCATTCCGATCATCAGCCAGGGCACATAATGCGGTTTCCATCGAGGTTCAGGCTCCTGAGACTCGACATCCGGTCCAAACCTAAGGAAGCGGCAGGCCGGGCGCTGCTCTGCACCACTGTCTCTGCCGAGCTTGGGCTTTAGCTTCCAAGTCCTATGGGAAAGGGCTCCCGGCCCTCGATCTTGGCAATGTTGTTGTTGCCCAAATGCAAAGCCTTGGCCAGCAGAAGATTGAGCTTGCTTTGCTTGTCTTTGAGATTCAAAGCGCCTTTGAAGTCAATGCTCGTTTCTAGCAGAGCCGCGCGAGGATTTGAAAAATACAATATACGGCTCAGACTTAGCGTGAGGCAGCTTCGAGCATGGTGGGGCTTGGGCTGGAGAGCCCACTGAAGCAGGGTTTTAACATTCACTCCGTCATGCGGGGTTGCCCGGATCCTAGCAACCCCCTGCCATTTCACGGCCTCCCTCTTCTGCATGCACGCATTGATGTTGGGAACCCCAACCTGCTTTGCCACAGCCTCCGGCACGACGCACGCTGCAGGCTAAATGGTGATAAAGTCAACACCGGGTAGAACATCAGCCCCTCAAGAGCTTCAGGTGGGGATGCCCTTCGAAACTCCCTCACCGCTCTGACCTCAAGCCCGAAGTGCACCCTGTGTAAGGCAGTGACACGGAGGTTTGTGTAGGCCTCGAGACCCTCGATGGTCTCAAAACCTGTTTGTCGGATCCGCAGTCAAGCTGGAGTTGTGGAGGCAGGTTTCATATGCGCATACCTAGGCCCTATAGGCCCCTAGGCAGGAGGAGCATTACAGGTCTTGCATATGTGCGCTCAGGCTCTGTGCTGCCGCGGTCTCTACTGTTCCGAATATGAAGCTTCGTCAACGTCCTTGCAGTGGTCAACCACTAATCTCGGAATGTGGGGTGGGTTTCTCTCCGCCGACAGGCTCAGGTTCGGCGTTCGCCTTTGTAGTTCAAGTAGAGAACTGTGTTCAGCTGCGGCTGCGACCTGGTTGTCACGGCCCAAAGTTCAGGCTGCCAAAGGCACAAGGAGCTGGATAATGTAGAAGTTCTCTACACACAGCTCGGCTTGCGGCCACATCTGGCGCTCTTTGCAGCACTCCTGAATCAGCTCCGGAGTCATTCGGCGGACGATGCCTGCATACCTCGCAGTCATACAAACACCAAGCCATACGGCACAAGGATCCTCATAATCAAAACGTCAGCGGCCATGACTTTTGTTCACCTGACTTTTTCAACTCGAGGGCAAATCCTCGAGTCAAACAACATGGCAGCCTCTCGTCTTTGGAGTCATCCTTCGCATCGTCTTTGGCCTGCAGCACGAAGTGACAGAAGTCAATGGCACTGTGCGATCTGTCGGCATTAGACTGTCGCACTTCGTGCCTGACCGACAGTTAGACTAAACATACAAAGCTGACGTGCGCAAGTGGCTTCCCAAGCGCAAACTGCAAAGTAGTGCTTACGAGAGGTGCAATGAAGCCCAGGTGTTCTTGCTCTAAGGTGAAGTTGGCTTGATCAGTCCGAGGATGCAAGCTTTGATTCTACGTCTACCCACGCTTTACTAATTTACCCTGTCGACATCTGAGCCTCGGCGGGTGCAAGCACCGCCTCTGCCTGAGCCACGGTCATTGGCACCCTTCGGGCAGGCCTTGGTGACATGGGGCACTCGGCAGAACTAGTTGTTCAAGTACCGCTCCATGTACTGCAGCGGCACTGAGACATCAGTCTGACCGTGTCTTGTGACGACAGCGTTCTGTGAACTGAGTGCATGGCGCCCTGGTTCGAGCAGCAACGGGTCGAGTGCTTGCGAGTGATTGTGAGCAAACGTCTGCCTGTCCGTGTCTACGATGTGTCTGCTGTCTCTCTGTGCTGGTCGTCCAAGGCATGCGGTCCCCTTACATGCCTGATCACGACTCGAAAGCGGGCTAAAAGAAAGCGAAACCTTTGTGGGCCAGGCTGGGAGTTCAGTCTAACCCACACCGGCTGCACACTGGGTTTCCACAAACAGTCGCTTCTATGTGTCGCCCGTGACATGTCAGCGAGCCAAATGGTTGCAGGGAGCGGGAGCAGTTCGCGAGACTTCAGGAACACTCCGGTGAACAGCTAATTGTTTGGAACGGCCGCGCCCAACAAAGTCACGCGGAGACGCCTCGCTCCTTGGAAACTTTCGCATATGCATCCCTTCGAGTGATACGTTCCCGTTCTACACTAATTCCTTGAATCTTAGCCACAAAACCCTCTTTTCTTCACCAGGGCGGTCCGCGGTTGAAGCGGTTCCACATGCGATTCGGGTCGTGTCCCCCTCGCCGACCACGACTCCTCAGATCAGGCCGAAAACAAGTAACAAGCACACCTCTGATCGTGGTTTCCGACTGGGCATGTCCGTAACCGACAGACAGAAGCTGCAATTGCAATACCTGCAAGTAAAGTTATACAAGGGGGTGATTTTGGTCCTAGTCTGGGTGGCATGCACTGCGCGGAAGAACAAGAAGCCTCCTGCACTCGGGGATTCACCAAACCAACCTGCCAAAGGACCATCCGCCACCCCAGCCCGTGTTGCGAAAATCGGGTTGGCGAGGCAAGCGCCAGCCGGTGGGCATGGCGCTCTCGTTCCTGGGACAAGGCTGCCCGTCAGTCGGACAATGCATATACATATACATATACATATATACATATATACATATATACACACATATACATTTGTATATATATATATATATATGCATATACACTTCGTTTGCCAATGTACATGCAAACATGCATGCATGCATGCATCAATGCATGTATTTGCATGGTAGCATGAATGCAAATGCATGCGCAGATAGATGTATGTGATAGCAGATGAACATACAGATGGCGATGGCAAGAACAATAAGTAAGGGAGATTGCAATAACACCGAGATCTTGCATGAGGCAACTGAAATCTGCATAAAGCTCGCATGTCAATATACCCGATAAAAGCCTCGCAGAGGAGCTGCGAACGAGGCGGCTTGCAAGGCTTCAGAGACGAGAGGGGAGGCACGCATGCGCAACTACCCTTGCGAGATTGCCATAACACCCCAAGGAGACGGCCAGAAACGACAAAGACGACGGTGCCAATCCTGATACAACTCCTACCGCCTATTGTAGTAGTGGGTGGAGTTGATAGCGTTCTCAAAAACTGCTACGTACGAAAATGCAAGTTCCTGAAACCCTGGAGACCATTGTAAAGGCCGCTCTGCCGAGTTTCTGTGCTTTGCCTCTCATGCCACTGTATCCGGCAGGCAAACGAGACTGGGGTCGGACCACACTCAGAATGGCTCCATTCCTGTGCATGGAGGCTTCGTGCTGCATTCAGGGCCACGCTATTTAACCGTGGTTTGGGAGGCTCATGGCTGACAGGGCATTTTGGGATGAACTCGAGACTTGCATGAGCAGCATGTGTTATGCTTTGGAGTTAATTCAGCGAAATCCGGGCTTCCCACGCCGACATCCAAGCCTGGCCCCATCGGGCGTCAGGCGATTCCGACTTGCTTCGAAAAGCCCTTCGCCATTCCGATGCTCATCACGGTCACGGCACTTCCTAGCCATGAGAGGTCATCCGACGAGTAGAAGCCAGGCCGCTGGAGCCGCTCAGAGAAAACTGCATCGCACTCTTCGTGCGAACGGTGTCGAAGCGAGCATCCTGCAAAGCACTTCATCGAGACGGTCAGCCCCTTTAGGCGGAGTTTACACCTTCTGCTTGGCCTTCTGCAAGAACCTCCATGAATCATGAAGTACCCCGAACCCGCAGATACACGACCGAAGAACCACACATTCCTACACGTCGGTGTAACTGTGCGGGAGACAAGCAGGCGGAATGCTGCACCTTCGATGGCCACGATGAAGTCGCCCTCTGCCAGGCCGGGCTGGCCGGGAAGTGGATCCTCGAACTGGTCATACGAATATAATCACAACAAAAACAACAAAAACAAGCAACAACAACAAGCAACAACAACAACAGCAACAACAACAACGTTCCTCTGGACACGCGAGCGTGCTCTGCGCTTGTCGGGCGTATTAACTGACAGGCACTCATGTGAAACGTGCTGCAAAGCTGTTTGCGATCCGGTTTCCACAGACTGCACCAGGATGCCCCAGTCGTCATCGAAACGAAGGTCGAGGCCAGTGTTGCCTGGGCGAGAGCATGCTGGAGTTAAGTGATGTTGAGCCCATGAATCCTAGGAGCTTTGAAATCTATCTCAATGCTCAAGTTGATTCCGCGACACATCAAATCTAAACCAGCAGCAGTAGTAGTAATGCTGATGATGGTAGCAATGGGTGTATAGAGAGTTGTAGTGCAGTAGCAGAAGAATCAGAAGTAGCACCAGCAGCAGCCGAAGTAGCAGCAGTCAAGGTTGTGGTGGTCAGCCCGCGGTCGGCGCTTGGTGCTAGCAAATAGAGGAACAGACGACTGCTAACATGACTAATAACCACCAGTACAATCCACCATCATAATTCTTGCTTTTCCACGCGGCCCATGGAATCCACGGCCAAGCGCACGCTTCGGGCAGTGTAAATTGGCATCTCGTCTGGCGCATCCCTCTCAGGGACTGCCAGTGCCGAAGATGAGTCGGGCGCAGGCAAAAAACCTCGATGACATTGGTCTGTGGATATGGGCTTAGTCTCTGGGGGGGTTGTTATAACAACGTCTAAGGCATCCTGCATGCATCCCCACAAATACGTATGATAATCCCCGTGTCCTGGAGCGTCAAACACTAATACTAATCCACATCACAGACACTTTCCTTGTTTCCCACGATCCTTACACCCTGGGAAACGAGTACTGGCATGTTCATAAGCTTTGCCAGGGCAATAAGGCAAAACAGCGACAACAAAACTGGAGCAACCTCTTGAGCTGCCTTCTTGTGTTGGTGTGGCTGCTACTGCTGCTGCTGCTGTGGTTCTTGGTCTTGCTCTTCTTGTTCCTGTTACTCTGACGCGGATGATTATTATACTGCTTGTTGTTGTTGCTGTTGCTGCTGTTGTCTCTGTTGTTGTTGCTGTTGCTGCTGCTCCTCCCGCTGCTGATGTGTGGTTGCAAGTGCATTAGCTTCTGTCGTCGCTGCTTGTCATGTTGCGTGTTGTTGGGTGCTAGTGCTGTCGCTGCGGGCGGAAGTGGTGGCGGTGTGGTGGCGGTGGCAGTCGCAGTGGCAGTGGCGGCGGCGGTGCAGCTGCTGCTGCTGCTGCTGCTGCTGCTGCTATTGCTCTTGCTGCTACTGCTGTTGTTGTTGATGATGATTGTTGCTGTTGTTGCTGCTGCTGCTGCTGCTGGTGTTGTTGACTGTTGTTTGTTGACAGCCGGTTACTCATTGCTGGCTGTTGCTGTTGCCGATTGCTGAAGATTGCTGTTGTAGTTGTTGTTGTCTTCGTCGTCGTTGTTGTCGTTGCTGCTGCTGTTTGTTGTTGGTAGTTGTCGTTGTTGATGTTGTTCATGTGCATTTTTGGTTGCTTGCTTGGTTGTGCTGTCGTTGTTGTTGCTGCTGTTACAGTCGCTGTCATTATTATTGTTTGTCTGCTTCTTGCGCGGCTTCTTACTGCTCTCGTTTTTGTTAACCTGCTCGCTCTGTTCCGTCACCCCGAAAAGGCTAACATTTTAACACTTACGGCAATAAGAATATGTCAAACTCCAGTAGATTCAAGTTAAAGGTCATCCAAGTACGAATCAGAACGTAGGCAATTATTCGTGCTGTTGTGCTTGCTTTTGTTCAAATTGTACACGTAATCGTGCCTTTATTGCTTGTTGTTGCTGCTGCTGGTGTTGTGGTGGTTGTTTGTTGTTGGTTACCGGTTGTGGTTGTGACTATTGTTGCGGTTGTCCTCGTGGTTGTTCTGTCCTATTTCTTCTTGTCGTTGTTGTCCTTATTGTTGCTCGTGCTCTTCCTGATCTTACCACTACTATTCTTCTTACTATTGCGATTATGACTACTACACGTATTATTTTACGCCTTTTGTATTTTTAACTGCTGGCTGCTCCCTTCTCTCAAATGCACTGGCCTCGTGCTTGACGGCCCTGGGCCTCGGGCCACTGAGGCAGCCTGGGAGTTTACGGTGCACGCGTGGGTGTTTCAAGAGTACTGGTGTCAGTAGTAGTAGTAGTAGTCGTCGTCGTCGTAGTAGTCGTCGTCGTAGTAGTAGTATCAGTAGTAGTAGTAGTAGCAGCAGTAGTAGTAGTAGTAGTAGCAGCAGCAGTAGTAGTAGGCGCCCCCCCCCTACCAACTACACTTGCTCTTAGCCATGTTAAGACAACATCCATTTTACTCGGTATTTACAGCACTTTCGTCATGTCCGATCATCATAAGAGGCCTCAAAATCGACTTG